AATTTTTAAAAAAGGGTTTGCTGTGTCAATTAGGTAAATGTTCACTTTATTCCGGGTTTTTGAAATTTATGAAGGTATGCTGGTATGTGGACTAACACAACAGGCTTTCTGTAAAATTTGTGATAAACATGGTGATCAGTTAGTAAGTAGGCGAGGAATTAATCACTGCAATTAGTTTTTAACCTTAAACTTTTTCTTACATTCGTATGTCTATTTTATAAATGCATGAGGTTATGTGTGTCATAGCATGTGTGAAGGTTCTAGGATAACTTGGTAAAATCAGAAAATCAGTTCTCTTCTTCTACCATGTTGTTTCCAGAAAGTTAACTCAGGTCATCAGCCTTGGCATCAAGTACCCTTATCTGCTGACCCATCTTTGGAGGTCTATCACTTTAATTGTATATATATATATATCTTTTTTTAATTGACACATAGTAATTGTACATATACATGGAGCCCAGTGTAATGTTACTTTGTGCTCATGATGAGTAATGGCTGCATAGGGAGAGCTGGCATACCTACCATGCACTTATGCTAGCTGTTTTCAAATATTTAATTGATTTCATAAACTGCAGTCACTCTCTTATGCCATGTAACGTTGACAGCTATTCCTCCTTTCTAGCGGTACAGTCCTTTGAACTTTATGATGAATTCACACACTTACCTCAACCAAAGTTTGCTATGGGTTTGATAACTAACACTGTTTCTCACTCAGAAAATGAAAACCGAATTACACTGCAGGAGCTTCCTTCCAGTCACACTGACATTGTTATGTCTGCTTCCACGCCAAAGCAGGGGATGCATCTGTCAAACTGCTCAGCTGCTGCAGAATTCCCTGAACTTAGAGAGGCGAAGAGGAGGTATACAAAGTTGACATCACTTAAGAGTCTGGTGGCGTTCTTTCTACTCCTTTGCCCACTGTGGCGGGCGCGGTGCTGCAATGGCACAGAACCACCAAACCATCTTACCCTGTGGTAGAATCACCTGGGCATCTCTAGCTAATGTCAGTGCTGCACAACTCTTGCATCATAGACTAGAACAATTATAATTTGAGACCTTTTTTAATTTAAATTTTAATTTTTTATATTAATTACAGTTTATTCACTTTGTATCCCAGCTGTAGCTCCTTCACTCATTCTCTCCAATCACACCCTCCCTCCCTCATCTCCTCCCATTCCCCTCTCCAAGTCCACTGATAGGGGAGGAGTAATGTGACTGGTCTCCACCAAGTCACAAACCCCAAAGTTCTGAATTGGAACTCAGAGATGCAGAGTTCAGCTTCTCCTATCTTCATTAGCGGAGAAATTTAAGGATGTGTGTACTATTGTCATCTGTGTGGTGATGAGCATGCTGCTTGATTTCTTATGTGACTCAATTTCTCTGCTTGTAAGGGGGGATAATGAAAATATGTGTATTTTAGTATTGTTTAAATGAGATCACAAATCTAAAGGATTAAAATAGCATTGTGCACTACTTGAATACACATGTGTTATTTATAACTACAAACACAATCTGCTATAAGTCCTTTATCATGTTATCTGACCCGTAATGAAAGACGAATGACATGGTAAATGTGTGTATCGTTTATTGCTGCATAGGAAGTAACCACAGATGCTCAGTGTGAAATGATGTTTGACTGCCTCACTATCTGTACAATGCAGGAAACTCAGACATGGATTAGCCACATGATCACTTCACGGAGAGTCGAGTAGCTGAAGTGTAAGCTCCGGTATTCCAGGGGAGTGTGGTCTTCTCTGGACCTCACATTTCCTCTTTAAACCCATATGCTCATTAAAAGAACTCATGTCTTTGTGGCTTCAAGACCACATTTTCTTTTTTTCAAACATGTTTTTATAATGATTCAGCTTTTATATTACAGACTTTGATGCATTTTTCCATTTTTTATTCTTTGAAAGTTTCCTACACTACATTATGATTTTAATTATTTCACTCCCCCATCCCCTCACTTACTTCCCTCTCCTTTTCCTGCTCAATCCTGTTTTGTTTTTGTTTTTTTTTAATTGACTTTTGCCCAGGGAGAAGTTAGAATCTAGTTAGTTTTAATCTACATATGAATATCTTCTTTCCCATGCACTATTTGTTGATAACATTTTATTTTCCTTTGTTTTCTCCCAATGTATGTTTTTGGCAGCCATATTGAAAATCAATTACCTGAACCCTGGTAGAGTTGTTTCTGGGTCTCCTATTCTATTCCATATCTTCTTTTTGTTTGTGCCATGCTGGCTTTGTCAATGTGGCTCTGTGGTAAAATTTGAGATTAGGTTGCAATATCTTTGGATAAAAGAAAAGAAAAGAAAAGGAAAACAAAAACAGAATCAGAAAATAGCAGGTAATAAGCAAATGATGTGAAGGCCATAATTATATTAAAACAGAAAAAGGATGTATATAGAGAGAATAAAAGAAATTGACTGTTAGAGGGAGGGAGGGAGAGAGAAAGAGAGGGGGAGAACGAGAATGACAGGCTGTGTGCTGGTCTTCCTATGGCCAATCCTTCCTTGCCAGTTTATACACTTTTTTTCCTTGACTGCTTGGGATCTGCAGCCCTTGGAAAAAGCAGAACCTAAAGGATATTTGTTTTATCTCTCTCTCTCTCTCTCTCTTCCTTTTATGATGTTCATTGGGTCAATGAGAATTGTTCATGACCAGTGCTAGAGACATGGAATAGTTTGTTTTCCTGGTCACTATGCAAGGTAGCATGGAACCAAAGTTCCTTCAGAGGGAGTTTCTGGGGTACAGATTGGGTCAGTGCACCTGCAGCTCCTCTTTCCATCTGGATCTCAGGCATTACACAGAGAGGCCCAAACCACAGACTGCGTTGAGTGAAGGAAGCCCTACATGTTGCATGCCGTTCCACTTATCACAGCTCTGGTTCACAAGGCTGAGTCAACTATGTGGATCACACACCCTGAGCCTGAGTCTCCTGAAGCTCGTAGGTGACCACCTTACTCACTGCCTTAAAAATGAGCTTCATTTCTTGTTTCCTAACTGAATCCCCCTGCATACATTTTCTAGTGAGCTTGCTTCACTGTCTCATCACACAGACAGAATAGAAACATGTGCTGTGAATTTCAGGAGGAAAAGTAGGGACTTTCCCCAAAGCGGCGTGCGCTTCACCACAGCTGCCTTTTAGACAGGGTGCTTCTGCGAACACGGTCACTTCAAATTGCCCTTCTATTCTACAGCAGATTCTGGGTCACGCTTGCCTCTCCTTGGCTCCCCCACAGTTCCACATCCCACTGGGAACCTGTGTTGTGTGGTTTGGTTTCTGAGAGGTAGAAGCTGGAAGCGTGGCTTGCTGCTAAGCTGCCATCATGGCCCCTATGTAACAGACATTTCCTTATCATCCTTGAGTTTCCTATAGCACCAAGAGGCCACCTGTTGGTCCTGCTGTGTGGTTTTCTCTATGATATGATTGTTATTTTCTACCTATTATCTTTTAATGCTCTATCACCAGATGAAGAAAACTCTCAGGGGGCTTTCCTGGGTATGCCCCTCGGGGTATTCCTCTCCTGCCTTAAAGAGTAGCCAGACAATGCACCCATGTTACTGTGTACAGATTCTACTGGCAAAATATCTGAGTGCAGGAGGGAGGTCAGGGCCATGGAGGCTTAGCCTGTCATGGAAGAGTGAGCACAAAGTGAAAGTAAAAATGAAATTCAATTGAATAATTATCATAACCTTGAGTAATTTTTAAAATTTTGGTTTTTGTTATTTGTTTAACAGTTTTAAATGTTTTTCTTTGTTCCTGAAAATTTCATAAATAAGTACAATGAAATATTGTCATATTCACTTCTATCTTCCCATCTACTCTCCCGAACTGAACTTTGTAACTTCAGGTACCATTTGTTGTTGTTTTGATGGGGCATAACCGACGAGTAGGTTTTAGCGCTCAGCCTCACGATCATGGTGTCAATAATCCTTCACCTCATAGAACACTGTTTTTATTTTTAATACTTTAACCACAGAGTATCACATTTCATCAGATAATGCTGATCCATTATGTAACTCAAGGCTTTCATTGTTTTGTAATTACTTTAATTCCTAGTTACATTAACTGAGGTACTTATTTACCCATTGATTTGTGAGGAGTTGAGCCAGTATGTTGCCCCAAATAAGGCTTATGGAGTCATGTCTCCCCGAGTCAGCTGCCCATGTGTGCCATCCTTTTATGTGTGCGCCCATCCTGGAATTCCCAGTGACCTACATGCACCTGGTCTTCAAGAAAACACACATCTTAATTTTACTTAATCCAGAAAGGAAGATGTCAGCCTGAGAAATGCTCATTCTTGCACTGAAGGCTTTGAACTTAATAAAGCGTGGTTGGTGTGGGTTTGTCCATTGACCAGCATTTATGAGGGTAGTCTGTGCAGTAACATGATCAATACACATGTAACAGAAAATTTCTGTAGGGAAAGGTTGAAAATGAGTATATGAAATACAAGAGCAGAGTTGGAAAATCAAGCTATAGATGCTCAGAAGCAGCTGCTGCACTTGGTAAGAGACATGACTTCATGTCAAAGACGAATTTTGTGTCTACACAACAGTTTGTTAAACTTTTGGAATTAAGTACTGTTAAGCTGTTCGCCATGATCTGGATGAGTTTGTTTCTCCCTTTACTATGGGTATGGAACAATTCCCAGACAAGCTCTAGAATTTTCCACAGTGGGCACTTGGTAATGTCACTACTGTTCTGATGGTTGTAATTGTTCAGTCATTTGAACATAGTATCCCAAATGTGCTTTGCTCATGTTCAGTATTTTTTCATTAATTTACTTTGAAACCATGAAGGTACTAATCTGAAATAGCTTACAATTACTTTTTTTCTTCGATTGTGTATAATTGTATACACCTTTCTTCCCCCTGACTGCTTGCCTTTCCAGACTCCTCCCTTCCTTTTCTTTCTTTCCTTTTATGATTATGATTCATTCTTTCTTTTTCTTTTCCCCACTTGTTCTCAATTGTCTCTTTTCCTCAAGCAGATATTATTCTAAATTTCCGAACAACTTATGTCAGCAAGTCTGGCCAAGTTATCTTTGAAGCAAGATCCATTTGTATCCACTATGTGACCACCTGGTTCATCATTGATTTGATTGCTGCCCTGCCCTTTGACCTCCTGTATGCTTTCAATGTCACAGTGGTGAGTAGAGACCTCTTCCACGTGGCCGTTAAGTGCTGTGTTTGATTTTCATGTATTTGGTGTGAAATATTGCTGATAGTGTGTGCTACCTGGGGTTTGTAGCTCTGTAATGAGGATGTTGAGATGTCCAGCTGCACATGGGCCAGATTCTTCACTTGAGAAGTAAATTCCTTCTGATATCTTCCTTCAATACTCAGAATCAGAGATACAGAAGGAAAGCCTGATTTTGTCATAAATTTTGATTCATTAAACAAATCCTTTGATACCAAAACACCTCTTAGGATAGAAGCATCCCTTTAGATTCCTAAAAATAAATTGGCTGGAAAATTTGGTGGGGAATTGAAAAATATTTCTCTTCCTTTTATGATCTTTGTGATCTTTAACTCTTTCTTCATAATCTCATTATTCATTAACAAAGCTAACTGAGGGTTGATCACACAAAGATGAATACTGGCATTAGAGGAAGGGAACTTAGCCAGTTAAACAACACAACCCCATATACAATGAGATTCTTAAATTGATTAACACTTGTATTTTCTGTTCTTTTTTCTTATAAACCCCATATCATACTGTCTCCTCACAAAGAGAAGAATGTTCCACTTATAGTAGTAACTGTTTTTACATTCAATGATGAACTGTTTTTTAAACTACCAAGTACTTTCATAAAAACAGAGAGATGTTAGGAAGAACACTTTTGATTTGACATATGGCTTTTACTATAATAACCAACGTTAGCCTGTAAAACTGAATGTACTAAACATTAGTTCATATTAAACAAATTCCCTGATTAGATGATAGTCTTTCACATAAATCATATCCTTTTTGAAAAATTTGGTGACCTGGTTGTTGAGAGTAACAAAGTGATCAGAGTTTCAAATGTAGATATTACTGGCTTCAAGACGTACATACAATTTCTGTCCTAACTGCCTAATGCAGGTTCATATATTTGTTAATTGCCTGTCCTGTATGAATTTTATTTTCTGTCTTTTTTTTTTTTTAGTTAGGAGTTTGAGGGTGACATCATTCAGAGGAAAGCTACCAAGAAAAGCTAGCACATAATACAAATTAACACGACAAAAATAGTTACCTGGGCTTTCTAAAGTACCTTTTAAGATTGAATTTGTCATATTATAATGAAAGCACAGTGACCTAAAGCAAAGATTTTGCAAGGCTCCAAAATAATCTAAAAGGAGTTTATGTTATAAAATGTTTATCAAAGTATCATGATTTCTCTGGCCAAATTGTCAAATAAATTTTGTTTAATACCATTTGATTTTAAATCAATTTGCTGCTTTCCTACTAAATATTAATGGAATTTATGTTCCTTTTTTCCCTCTGGATAACGAAATAAGATAATTTTAAATATATATATATAATATAGAATGATTATATACAATAAATATTCATTTTAGGTTTCTCTGTTATTAACATCATCATTGCCTGAATTAATTGGCAAGATTCCTTTATTCAGTGACTACTTCCCTGCCCCTCTCCCCCTTTTGCTCAGTCCCCTGGGAATCTTGGATAAATGGTTTGTGAATATTCCATGTCAGAAAGAAAAACAAGAGAAAAAAAGAAAGTTTCTACCAGAAACATGTCTCCTACTTTTCACAGGCCTTGTTATTTAAAAAAACAGTGTGCATGCTATCCTTACCCAAGTTAATAAGTATAAAATGTTCCATTTGAACAGAAAAACTTGTTCAAGATATTCTGTTCTTTTTCCACTAACACATGTGATGAGAACAACTAATAAGAAATGTCCTTGGGCTGGAGAGATGGCTCAGCGGTTAAAAGGCTAGCTTCACAGCCATAAATACAGGAAATGTCCTTAGACGTCAAAACTAAAATAAGCCTGCTCCTACCAGATTTAAAATGTGTACAGTGAGCACATCTCCATGGAAGAAACTCCAAATGCAGCACAGCCATCAGAAAGTGCTGTGTAGGCCTTGACTCTGCCCATTACTAATTGCCCTTGGCAAATGTTTTTAATAAATTCATAGATTCATCTGTAGAAATGTACTGTGCTTCTCACTGTGAAGGGTTCTGTGAGATACAAAATGAGGGATAACAGACAAAGTGAAAAGCAGGGTATGGATTCTTTACCATCTGGGCAAAATCAAAACTTCGCAAAATGGGCACACAGAAAAGCCTGACAGTTCTTAAGCAATTTAAAAGAAAAATGTGTCTATCAAATGCTTTGCCTAATTTTTGGCATTAGGAAAGCTCTTTTATTGTGTGCTTCCCTGGCTGACAGTCAGGAGACAGTAACAGTGAAAAGTGCTGCTAGAGACTTTGGATACACGTGTCCACAAGTAGCTTATAATTCTCTTTCAGGGCAAATTTGGGCTAGCCATCCCAAACAATAAGAATCATGAACTCTCTCATTCATCAAAAGCCCGAGTCCTCATTTACTGCAGAAAGCTGTTGGCTCAGATGAAAGCAAGTTTAGTGATGTTTTTTTGTTTGTTTGTTTGTTTGAAATATCCCAGCATATCACTAGGGTATGTCATCCTAAGCTAGAGTTCGCATTCCCTGCTTGTGGAAATGGCCACAGAAGGGAAGCCCCATGCTGTTTCCTGAACCGCTGCCTGTGAGGCCAGAGAGAATGAGGCATCAACACTGTATTCAGATGAACTTCTCCATCGGGAACTCAGTGCCAGGCTTCATTTCACTCAAAAATTGTCACCTCTCTATCAAATTCATCTTCCTCTCAAGCAAACTTCATTCATAATAATTCTCTAAGTGACAAAGTGGAGAATATAAAATCCTAGCAGCATGTTATCATGCGTTCCACACTAGGTTGATAAATGGAAGGTGAGATCTTGACTCTGAAGGAAGAGAGAAAGCTAAACTTGACCATGAAGAGTATCAAGAAGAAATAAACAAGCACAATAGCTGCCAGGTTCCCAGGTGCCCTAAAGATCCACTTCTATATGAACCTATGAGATAACTCAGCATGTAAAGGTGTTTACTGCTGAGCCAGGTGACCTGAGCTACATATCAGGGCCCACATAGCGGGAAGAGAGAACCCACTCCTGAAGGTTATCCTGTGGCTTTTACACATGAAGGACACCTGTGTGCAGGCAGGCAGGCCGGCCATCAGGCATGCATGCATGCATGCAAGCAAGGGAAGGGAAGGAAAGGAAAAGGAAGGGAAGGGAAGTGAAGTAAAGAGGACAGGAGGGCAGAGGAGGGAAGGGGAGAAAAGAGGAAGGAAGGGAAGGGAGGAGAGGGGAGGGAAGGAAAAGAAAGGGAAAGAGAAAGATAAGGAGGAGGAAATGGTTTTTAAAAGATGTATTTAAGTGCAGAATAATTCACAATATTAGGATTGAGCACAATTTTGTTGAAATTTTTTTATATGCTGAGATTTTAGTATCTTATATCTTAATGATCTGTCCACATATTCTTTTTGTTGTTATTGATTCATTCTTATATAAAATATTTGCTAGATAAAGCTGTACATATGTTTTTCTTAGAATAAGGGAAGCTGGGTAACAGAGAAGAATTGAAATGAACTGACCAGCTGATTTCTAGGCAAGCCCTCTGGGAATGTTCATCTTTTCTATGATCATATTGTGTCAAGGAGAGACTTCTAATAGCCACAAGCTATAAGCACACCTCTTTGACTTGTAGTTTGTCGCAAGAAATTAAATGGTCAATGACTTTATCAAATTCTTTTTCTATGTGAGTCAATATTCTGTGTTTTCTACTTTAGAATAGTCTCTGAGATTTTGTAAAACTAGTCAGGGAGCGTATATTAGGTGCACTTCTCATTATCACTGATTCTGGCCATGCCTGTGTTCACATTATCTTTCAGTTGACGCCTAAGTTCAGGAAAATAGCCCTTGAGTTTGAAGTCTATCTATAATTTAACTATAGGAAAAGACAAGGCATAGGAGATGCACCAATTTAAATTCCACTTCATTTTGGGTGTAGAACATTCTAGAGAAAAGCTCAGGGTATGAATACTTCATGTGAATGTTTTCTCTGTTCATCAATAGTGGAAGAAGCCAAATAGATGACACAGAAGATGCCACTGGTACTTGAGTGTGAGATACTTATTCAAGTTTATGGGTCAGCTGACTTAAAGAAATTAATCTTTCCAGATCAGCACAGGTTTCATGAAAACCTAGCTTCAGGACATGAACACTGGAAAAATCTTAACCATCTTTATTATGACTTTTTAAGTTTTCCCTTAATATTTATATTAAGGGAAATATATTAACTATAGAGAGAAAGTAGATTAACAGAAAACATATCCAAAGTGACAGTGAAATTTTACACTCAGTGTGTCTTAGTTGTGGAACAATGTATACAAAATTGTATGCAGTCAGGTAGAAAACAAAGTCAATTATAATTAATAAAGTTAAGTTTTTGAAGGAAAAATTAAATTAACTCTGGAACTTTCAGCCTACCTTACTTCATCTTTTCACCTCTTTATATAGTATCCGAGGAGCAGAAACACTCTTAGTCAGCGTGGCCACCGCGGTGAAACCACAGCCATGCTTCATTTCAGAAACTTTCCACCTTTGGTATGGGTTGTGTAAAGTGCTGTGCTATGAATGTAGCTTCCAAGCTGTGCTGCTCTGTCCCCACCACAGGTGTCCCTCGTGCATCTCCTAAAGACTGTCCGGCTGCTGCGTCTTTTGCGCCTCCTACAGAAACTGGACCGTTATTCTCAGCATAGCACAATCGTCCTCACCCTGCTCATGTCCATGTTTGCTCTCCTTGCACACTGGATGGCATGTATCTGGTATGTCATTGGAAAAATGGAGAGGGAGGACAACAGCCTTCTCAAGTGGGAAGTCGGTAAGGGCTTCAGTCACGTTTTCCACTCTTAGTTAGGAGGGAATGTTGCACAGACTTTGGAAGTGAAAGATATGTTTTTGAATATATTATTCTACTCACTTATTTACTAATTTTTTATTATACTACGTTACGTAGGCTTATTTTCATCTCTGTATATAATGTACATTCAGTGCATTTTTAATACTCAGCCATTCTCCTCTCCCAGACTCCTCCCAACTCCTGTCAGTCCTCTTGTCCTCTACAAAATCCTATAAGTACATTCCTTCTTACTGACATTTTTAGAATTTAAAATACATGCAATGAAACTCTTTCAAGATCCTTGCATTGATAGCAAAAGTTATCACACATTCAACTTGTAGGCTAAAGAAACTAAAAAAATATCCACGTTGTTCAAAATGTCCGCCAAGGCTATGCAAGTGTTGGGATAAATATGCAGTCCTCCCTTGGCATGTTTCGGTGCGGAGTTGGTAAATCCTGGGCAACTGCTCCAAGGCCCTTCTCTAAGTTGTCAAACCACAAGAAAACACAACTGTTTATAGCTGAGTTGGTCCTCTAAGGGAGATGATAAGCCTTAGGAAAGTGAACTACCAAAAGGGCATATCATTTATAGAGGATCAGTGATGACAGAGAAGACAGGATTGTTTACAAATGATTATAACGTTTTGTAGTTCCACACTTCATGAAAGTTTGGATTTCTCTTTCAAGTGTTACATAATTTTGCATAAATGAATATGAAATACCAAGCACGGGAACGCATTTTTAAACCCATGTTAACCACACAAAATTTATAGAAAGTAAAACTTCTTAAGAAGTAGATATCTTCTAGCCTAAAATAGCCACCATCTTTTCACAGCCCCACTCTATAGAACTGCCACAGTACCCTCTAGTGAAAGGCTGCTGCTGTTTTTATTTTTGTTTTGACATTTAATCAAAAGAATCTATTTCTTAGTTGGCTGAAATTCCTGCACTTATTTTCTCCCTCAAAAGCCAATCTTGAACTTCTGAAGGGGACTCTGACCTTTGCAGAGGGCTAACCCACAAGAGACTCCCAGGGAGAGAAGTGCTCAGTGTGTCCAGCTGCCTAGGCAGCTTGTGCTTGGAACATCCTGTGTTGGTGTCCTGCATGCTTCTCTCCCACCACGGGGGGTGTGCAATACCTTCACAGGGAATTCCTGAAAGGCAAACTGGAGATTTGGGGGAAGCAGGTTGAACAGAGTTAATTTCCTTATTAAATGACTTTATTATTTTTAGCTGAGCTCCCCAAAGTAACTGATGTGTTATGATTTCCTCTCAGAAGAGGTTTCTCTTCTTTTTAAAAGCATGTTTTAAATATCCTGCTATGGTTCTGGATTCTCAGAAACAAATGGAGTACATAAATAAAACTGTAGAGTGGAAGCAGAGATGTCCTAGTTTAAAAAAAATGAGATTCAGCTGGAGAGAGAGAGGGAGAGCAATAGCCGGGATTATCAAGGTCTGACTTCACTGATAGCGTTTGCCTCCCTCGGGTGCACGTGTGCCGGACTTATGGTTTTCAGTGAGTTGCAGGATTAAATGTCTGCCCTTGAAGTCCATGTTAAAAATCTGTCCTATAGTCAGCATCTAACTCTATCTTAGGCTTGGACTGATATCTGATACCCTTCAGGCCCTACACCTGTACATTCATATTAATTTGTAAGGGTTGATATCTGAGAGTCTGGCAAAATCCAGCTTCCTCACACTCTCACATGGAGTTAGATGAGGACTGCTTTTCTTAAACTTCTACTGTATCAGTTGTGCTACAGACATGCAATCTAGATTTTATTTTTCTCCCCAGGAATAGGCAGAGCTGTTTACTTTCTCGGAAAGAGGTAGCCAGCAACCTGAAGTGTACCAGTATTAGTCCCGACCTTGTCCCCAGTCTAACACAGAGGTTGTAAGCTGGGTCTCAGCAAGGCAGAGGCAGAATGGCACACTGCAGTGATGGAAAGGAATGGAGCTCACATCTGCAAACCGGTCTGGCCTCCCTAACCAACTGTTAGATTTTCACTAACCTAGTTCAGCAATTCCCTCATCTACAAGATAAGAACTTCACTAAATAACTGACAGTCTTTTTTTCTGGATTCCATGATATATGGTTCTCATGAAAACACAAAATCAAAATTGTGTGCTTCCTAAGAATATATGAAATATGTATTTTTATCACGGGTTAGCATCCATTGACCATCTGCTGAACCTAGTTTGAGGGTGTATCGGAGGTTTTCCTAAGATCATGGCTTATCACAGAATCACTCTTTTTACTCAGATAAGGTAAAAGTAATTCTCTTTGGAGAATTAGATTTCCTGTCTAAACAGTACTTAGGATGTGATTAGGAGGGAGGTATGAGTTTTATGCCTGTAAATATATCTGGACAAGGTTTTTCAAGGACTTTCCCTTTCCCTAAACTTGATTGTATCATTTGTATACTTATCAAATTATTTACCAGCTGAGATTTGTCTGCATATTAAACAGTCAGAGCTCATCTACCTGTTAGTTCATTTTTACTAGGTAATTTCTTGTCAGTAGTGGTAAGTCTTATTCTTTTTTGCTTCAATTGCCATAAATCAAAAAATTCACCACATAAATAAAATCCTGTTAGAGAACACATTGTTCTTTCCTTTTGTGGCTAACATATAGAGCAGGTTCGTCTGTCTGAAGGATAAATCTCTTCCTAATCATTGTCAATTATCCCATTACTCTTCTTTTGTCCTTCAGAAGTTCAGTACTGACAGCTAAAGTGCTTTGATACTTTGTTTCAAAACAAACCCAAGTTCATCTTTAAAACTGGCCAATGCCAGTTTTTAAAAGATGTCTATTTTTAGAATGAATACTCTGTACCTGTTGGCTTATAAGAACAGAAACTGATTGTGAAATGGTATTGTATTTCAGTTCATATTTTCATATATTTTAATCTATAATTTAGATAATTTTGAGATTTGTCTGAGTGTTTATGAAACGTTACACTAAGAAGAACCAAAATCTAATGATTTTTGTACCAAACGAAGATAATCTATATAGGATAATCTAAGCTCCATATAGGAAGTGCTGGCTTGTCCCCTAGTGTGGCTCTGGGATACAGCTCCTGGCAAGGTTGAATGGATTGATAATCATGGTCATTTGGTTACTGAGTGGTGTTCATGGTTCAGGAACTTGTCTAGAAATTGCTCTATAGTCTTGAGTGTTAGGAAAATTATAAGCAAAGTCTGTCTGGAAATTTTTTATGGCTAAGAATGAAAGAACAAATAGGCTAATCACTATAGGTTTTCTAACACTATAGTTTTATAACATTTTTAGGTGTCCATTGAATGCTTGAGTCCTGTAGACTTTTTTTAAACTTCCTTTATTTGGGGTTCTTTATGTCTCTTTCTTCTTTCTCTATCCAAGCACCTTCCAACACCAGGTGAGAGAAGGAAGATTAGTAGGGACAGGTTATGTGGACATTTTTAGAAGTAGCTCCTTGGGGCGATTCCGCTCTTTGTCATCAGGATACCTACAGTCCAGTCAGACAGCAAACCAGCAATCCAGCAATAGCAAAAGCAGCAACGAGGTTCAGCCACAGCAACAGCAGGGTTCAGCAGAAATGACACGAATCAGCAGGCATGGCAAGAAGAGTTCTCTGAAAGGATACAAAGCAATTTTTCTCTGTCTGTGGGCTCCTATTTATACCTTCGTAAAGTTCACACAACTGTCTTTCAACTGGCCACCCCCCCTCCAGCGGATCATGTAGCCTCTCACTGTTTATCAGGTGACAGAGATCATTCACCTCTCAGGAGGCAGATGTCAGCTATGGACAAAGCATCCCACATCCCACACTTGGGACTACAGCAGAGACATGTCTGCACAACACAACTATCCCTAGACTATTTATGCTACCTCTACAGCATGTGCTTATCGCTAAAGTAGAGCAGGTTGGAAATGTCTTTTATAAGCTGATGTCCTTTAAAATCAAAACAGCAGGAATCAGTAAGAAACAATTAACTTTGCTTCCTTTCAAATGACAGTAGTGCTGTAAGTCTCTTTGAGGTTGCCAGTATTAAGTTATCAAACATATAAACATATGTGAAGCAGATTGGGAGCTGGTTCATTGCTTGCTGTGCAGATCCTGAGTTTGGATCGTCATGTAAAAGCAAGATGCAGTACAGTGGGCCAACAGACAAGGTTGTCATTTGTGTATCCGTACTCACATACATGAACATGTGTACACTCCCACATATATACACATCACACATACATGCAAAGGAGAAAAAAAAGAAAAGAAAGGCCATGCAAAGTCATTAGCATTGTATCTAGCACCCAGTCACTGTCAGTAAGTGCTGTCTGCTGTAGCTGTCCTTATATTATTATGACAATTACTATTGTGAAGAAACCAATGAATATCATTTTGCACAGGAAAGTTATTTAGAAGGTAACTGCAGTGTTGCCATTTGAGTTAGGAATTGTGCTCAACAAGTCACCTATAGAAGATTTTGTTCTGAACATTAACAGAGTCGACATAATGGGGTAGGCCTGACACCCGCCTGAACTCTTGGTAAAGTCTGAGTTTTTAAGGAATGTGGATATAGAGTTAAGGGTAATATTTAAATCTACATTGAAGAAACTTATCACAAGTGATTTTGAGAGTACTTTTTAAAGTTGTATTTTCATTAGGCTACAAAGAAATGTTTTGATTGGCCTCTTGTAGACAGCTGCTTTGTTTGTTTCCTATTAGACTCTCCAATACATGCAAACTATGTGACAGGGTCTTGGAATATTACTCAGTGGTGGAGTGCTTACTAATTATAAAACAGGCACTGGATTCTACCCTCAGTGCTGCCAAAGTGACAGGTGTAAGATCTCCCAGGCTTCCATATGTCTCAGTTAATAGATGTGCATTTTGTTGTAATTATTATCACCTGTAGAGTTCAATTAATGGCAGCTGTAAAGTTCAGTTAATGACATTGAATGTGTTTTTAAAGAGCTTCATTGGGACCTTAATTAGGAAGAA